TCATCCCAACTGTCTGCCTGACATAGTTTCACATGCCTGACTTATGTACCAGCAGAAAGGAGGCACTTCTGAAATCCTGTGTCTACTCCACTCCTTTCAGACCCTGAAGAATAGTAAGATTCTATGTAGGAACATTTTTTGGGTCTCAGTTCAGACTTTTATAACAAAATACCATAAACGGAGTGTCTTCAAAAACACAAGTTTATTCTCCTCAGTTCTGGGAACTGGAAGACCAAGATCAGGGTGCCGTTGGGTTCAGTGTCTGGTGAGACTCCTCCTCTGGCTTACAGATGGCACCTTCTTGCTGTGTTTTCCCATGGCAAAAAGAGGCAAGACTCTTCCGTCTAAGGCTACTAATCCGTTATGGGGTGGGGGGGGGGTTTGCCCTCATGAACTAAGTACCACTCAGAGGCCACACCTCTGATTACTGTGCCACTGGAAGGTAGAATTTCAACGTATGAACTCTTAACGGGCGGTCACTAATGCGCAGTCCAGAGCAGTCAGCACCTAGGACTTTTCTTCAGTGGCAGTCTGTTTTTCAACTCCTGTTTCTCTCAGACCTTCCTCTCCTTGCTTAGAGTGCCCAGAAACTATGGGAACTTTGTGGGGAAACAAACCATCAGAAATGACCCAGAGGAAGATATACTGGCCTCAGCACCAAGAGCTTCCAAGAAGGGCACTGAAACCCTTTCCCTAGGGAAGGCAAGGACTGGTGGGTCTCTGGGAATGGCTACCACTGCAGCCTCACCCACCTTGCCAGATGGAGAGGGGAAGCCATGGGAAGCCAGGGCAGGAGGACCTGAGAGGCAGGGCCGTGCTGCTGTGCCTGGCAGTACGAGTCCGAGCTACATGGGAGGGGATGATGTAAGTGGAGATTACGCTGACCCAGGGGCCCCTCCTGTGACCACCCAGTCCACATCTCTGAGCAGGACGGCAGAACTAAGTGCAGGACTGAGTGGGCAAGGCCAGAATTCTCGCCTTGGTAGATCCTTTTTTTTTTTTTTAAGATTT